TTTTTATATTTCTCTGTTATAGATAGAATAATGTAGCATGGATCAAATAACAAAACACTTAGAATGAGAATTTTTCTAGGGTGGCCTGTAGAAATCAATATTAAGTCAAAATCTAAATGGACTTAACCTAGACTGTCCATAAGAAACCCACAAAACTCAATGCTCAGTAAAAGAGAAGCAGCTTCTCTATTAACGGCACGTAGTTGGCGAAATTTGCTTTCTCTGAGAAAACATGGTTGTTAATCACAGACCGTTATGACCACTCCCAAGCCTCTTTCCCTCCTTTGCACTCAAAGTAAGTTGACGGTTCACTGAGGAACTTGACTTGTTCTAAAAGGATACCTAAGCTCAATTACATATATACCATTCAGTCTTCTCCTCCTTCATACAGAGGAACAGTTTGTTCTCTTCTCAGAAGCCACACTCTTCACTCACCCTGAATCCTCTCACTTCCTCAAAAGAACTAATTCTGTACACTTTTTTCAGTGACTTTTCTTCTCAACTAGCTCCTTAACAACATAGAAAAGTTGGCATTATCATATATCAAAGAAGAAAAGGAGAAAAAAAGAGACAAAGAAATTAAAAGTAGGAGGAAATGATAGAGGGAGGAGGAAGTAAAAAGGAGAGCTGAAAATAATTCAGAGAAGGCCTTCCACACCTGTTGGCTGCCTCTCTCATTTTACAAGGCTCGTATTTTCCATACTAACTTCCTTTAGGTTGTGTCCCAAGAGAAGAGTTTGCTGTTACAGAACTCAGGAGCAAGTGCACAATATCATTATCACCTGCTCAACAAAGGGCTTGAACCCCAGACCTGTGATCAGTCAAGGCAAGAAGTTAAGGAACCTGTGCTAAGACCAATGAACTGCAGCACTCCCTAGCCAGATTCCAGTGCTGTTTCTGGAGTCCAGTTGACACTCGTATTGGGTAAATCTCTGTATACTGCTCTAAAATGCAACAAGCATTAAGATTCATATTGGATGGTTCATTGATGGATTGATTGATTGACTGGCTGACTGATTAAATAGATGATTGGTTGGTTGTTTGTCTGGCTGGTTTATCTTCAGTGCGGTGGTTAGGAACCAAACCCAGAAGCTCACACACATTACCCAAGCCCTCTTCACCAAGTAACATCCTCCAGAGCAAGAGACTTCATAGTTCTAGTATTATGTGTCCCTTTAGGTTCCCTCAGGAGACTGCCTATGTGTGTTACCTAACTATTTGCTCAATGCTACCATCCCAACAGTACCATTGTTCCAACAATGCCACCCTCCTTTTTAGAGAAAACCACCTCAACAGATTTGATTAAAACTTACTTGCATTTTTTTTTGCTCTTATCCCCTTTGTAATCCATCACATAAAGGCCTCTCCTCCTCCATTGTGACTGAACAAGTCACAATATGGTCAACAGTAAGCCCCATTGCCAAATCCCATCTTTTATTTTATAAGACCACCAATGGCTTTGACTTTGTGTATCCTTCCCTTCTTCTAGAACAGTTGCATCTCTTGGCCTCTTAAATATCATACTCCCTTTGGTGGTTCTTGTACGACAGTCATCTTAGACTTTCTCGATCTTCACTGCTGATCTTTTCAACCTGTGATTCTTAAAACACTCCAGAATTCAGCTCTCAGCACTTCCTACCTGAGTGAGGACTTTGCTTGTGTTGTTCTGTATTATAACCCAGGACCAATGACAACACCAGCTACACTATAAGGACTTATTGCATATTTGTTGAATGAGTAAATCAATACATACATGTAAAATAAAACCATTTTCTTCTATTTAAATTAGTTTAACTAAATCACCATTGTTTGATATTCCAGTAAGAAGCTTCTTAGTCATGCACAAGTGGCTGATTAAACATCTCATTTCAAAATACAAAATTCTCATCCTTGGATCACTATTTTTAAATAACCCTACAGATCTCTTGAAAGAACCCAACATAGACTATTATTTATTCTTTTTATTACTTCAAGACATTCTCAAAGACCAAGTGAAAAACACATGTCAAAGCAATCTCTCCCTTTTTCTTCTGATTAAAATCAATATTCTTCCTGCTCTTAACAGCAGTGAAAATAATCACAATGGTTTTGTTAACTCTATGGAATGTCAAGTGTTATCTCTCTGTATTGTTACCAGCAGGGACGTCAACACAATACAACAACAGCCTGTAATCACTGCTGCTTTTATTATCTACAAAATGTCATCTGTGCATATGGCATTTCATGAAACAACATAGTGGAAACAGGAACCGTGTCTCAAAGAGCTTAGAGATTATTTAGACAAAGACCCAAAGAACGGAGAAGTGAAACCTAAGAGGAGGTCCTGCTGTCACTGAGAAAAAAGTAGGACCGATCTAAGTAGTTAGAGCAGAGAAGGAAGTCTTATTCACAAACAGCAGATGTAACTCTAATGGACTTTCCAAAACCCTGTTCCCTGTTGGTCATGGAGAAGCTAACTCAGAATATACCCACTCTGAGAAAACCCAAACAATAAAATAATAATAAGTGACACATCTCACCAATAATTGCTTAGCAACATCTTATGACATTTTATTAGTTCAAAAATCTTCCCTTCACTAAGATAAGTCCATAAAAACCATATTGAGTTAGTCTAACAATTCATATTCTTACATATCTCACAACATCTAATTTATTCTAATATAGATGGGTCCACTAAAATATATGCAATGCAAGGAAAGTGACAAAATTTGAAATGGGACATTTGTATATGGGGAAAATGGTGGTGAAGGGTGAAACATTGTACCATATCGATTCCATTTAAGGAGGCAGATTCCCTCAGAAAGCAGGTTAATAACACAAGGGGAAAATAGACTCAGTGCTGCCCATGTTATAACCATCCAAACGAAGCCAAAATCCCAAAGGTTTTGAATGCACTTTTCTAAGTTTGGGTGGTTTGCCCAATTATAATACCTTATTAAGTCATCAAAACAAAATAAGTCATGGGCAAAATTTAGCCATTTGAAAGACTGATTTCAAATAAAGTCTCATATGTCTTTACCTCTTTAAATGTTTTATATAAACTTATTAAAGATATATGAGGTTATTTTCTTACCTTAGCAAAAACACTCTGGGTGGTTCCTGACTGTTTGAAGTACATACAGTAAACACTGAGACTTTTCTCTTTACCCATTACCAGGACCACTCAAGTGCTATTCAGAGGATACACTACAAAGAAACAAAATGGGCAGGATTCTTAGAGGGCAAGCCGGAAAGATCAAGACATGTTTACCTGCTCTCTTCTTATTAGTCTGTGGACATTAACAAACAACAGGATTCTCTATCTGGCAGCGAGGCATGACTATAGTGATGTCTATGAGGGAGTGAAGATCTGAAAAAGTTTAAACAGACAGTTTAAATCTTCACTTGGTTATGTTTTCACAGAGACAATGGAGAAGGAGATTTGGAGTGCTTACATGGCCAATGATGCTTTATTTCATAATAATGGTAAATATTTTTGATTAGTTTCAAAATAAATTTACTTTAGAAAGCAACATTCTTTGAGCATTCCCTGTCAGACTAATTAAGTACTTTTGCAGAAAAGTAGTATTTTCCACTTTGGAAAATTTACCAAGTTTTTCTGACAGTTAGACATTAGTATCGAATTGTATGTTTCACCAGTCAGGTTTCCCTTGTGCCTTTTGTTTGTTTGTTTGTTTGTTTGTTTCCCTGTGAAATTCACACCATGTACCCAATACCACTCATCGCCCTCTCCCCTCATACCCTCCCTTGCAAACTACCCTCCGAGAGAGAGAAAGCTGTAGTGTTGCAGTGTGACCTACAGTGCCCTTTTGTCCACACTTCTTGCAGTGACTCACTGGTCTGGTTCGAAGCCTCTGGCTTCTGCTACTCTATCAATACTGGATCCTCACAGGACTCCTCAGATATCCTGTTGCTGCCCTGTGTCTTGGAGATCCTATAGTTTTGGATCTGTAGGACTGGCCCCTTCATGCATTCCGAAGTTCATTGATGGGGTAGCCCCTCTAGGGCTTTGCGCTGGTCAGTCTGCCGACGTTCTCCTCTTCTAATGCCCTCGAGGCTGGTTCACTGGCAGCTCCACTCTGCTGCCCAGGTGAGGTGCAGGACCCAGGCTCCTGGAGATGAGTGGGAAGTCTGGCTCTCCCACACTTGTATCCTCAGAGTCTGTTCACCCACAACTCCCACAGTGTGCTGGGCCTACTCTCCAGAGTATATAGATGGGTAGAGGCAGGATCAGCTCCCCGGCTGTCATATCCCTGGGGCCAGCTCTCCCATGATGCCCAGGTGGAGGGTAGGGACAGTTCTATACAGCCCTCAGACATCATTATATCCCTGGGAGGAAGCCCAGACCAGGGACATATGTGTGGCTTTGGGTGAGAACAGACCCCCTTGCTGCTTCAGGGCCATGAACCCAGATGTGGTCCCAAGTGTTGGTATAGGCCAGGATGCCACCATGGTCCCAGGTGGCATCTCTGACTACCCACATCAGGCTGTTCGTCACTGCCCTCGAGTCTCCAATTCTGCCTTTCTTCATCATACCCATATCCTTCTATTTTTTTTTCTCTTCCACTATTTTTCTATTTTTCTTTCTCTACCACTCACCTGCTCCTCCTAGTGGCTCCCAGGGTCCCAGGGGTGTTGTCTCAGGAATGTTGTGCCCCACTTATGTATTAAGGCACTGGGCAAGGGTCCTCTCAGGCATGGTCTGCCTCCCCAGGCCTTCAAGGCTCTGGACTGTGGTCGTCTCAGGAAAGCTCCCTGTCAAGGCTCCAGGCGCTGGCCCGGTGGTCGAGTCGGGCTTGCTCCTTGCCCAGGCCTGCCTGAGTCGCCTCTTGCGAGGGTCTTGGGCTCCCTCCTGCCTGGGACCATAGGTGGCGTCCTGGCCTATACCATAGGTGCCAGGCAGGGTTCTTCTAGTCTCTGGCTCACTCCCCACCCTGGGAGCCTGTCAGGGCCTGTATGACACAGGACTGGTGGTCATCTCAGGCTCACTTTTTTCAGGGAATGTCAGGCTGCTAATCATTCAGGTAGTCACAGGTCAGAGCACTGGGCATATATATAGCCTCTCTCCTCTCTGTCACTTACTGAAGCGCATGTGATACATCAGTCACACCTGCAATGCCTCTGGGAGCAGGCTTTATCATCATCATCATCATCCTCTTTATTATTAGCTCAGAGAGGTGTTCCTCGGGATTTTAAATTCTTCCCTCCAATTGTCTCTGTTTCTTCTTCTTCTTCTTCTTCTTCTTCTTCTTCTTCTTCTTCTTCTTTCTTTTTTTTTGGGGGGGGGGATTGAAGGGGTTTCGGTTTGGTTTGGTTTGGTTTGGTTTGGTTTGGTTTGGTTTGTTTTTCTAGACAGGGTTTCTCTGTGTAGCCTTGGCTGTCTGTCCCAGACTTGCATTGTCGACCAGGCTGGCCTGGCACTCAGAGGGACCTGCCTGCCTCTGCCTTTCTGAGTGATGGGATTAAAGATGTATACCACTGAGTCCAGCTTCTGTCTGTTTTCAAATGCTCATCAAGTATTCTGTTAGAGCTCAGTGTTGTTCTCCTATGCTCTAACTCTTTTGCTTTGTTTCTAGCACATTCTCTTGACCTTAGTAATGCTCTTTCCTTCCATATGTTCTTTCCCATAATATCCCATATGGATATTTAATATATCCATAGATATTTTATGGAGCAACACTTTCACTTCCTGACAGACATTTTATTTCTGTTGCCACCACTTTTGTGATACAAGAATGTAACACTCAGGTTAAGTTTGAAGTTATTAGTAAAAATAAATATTTACTTCAGTGTCCTGAATTATCTCTATATCGTTGTATAGCTCTTGTTCATTTTCACCATCTTAGTTTTTCTCTTTAGGCTACTGGTGATTCCTAGCTCCCTGTTAACAACAGTGATGGTTGAATAATCATGTTTTGGGTCATGCTTTCAGGCTGACTTGTGAAGTATCTGCTGGTGCTTATAGTATGTTGTTGTCTGCTCTCTTTTGATGGCCTACTTCCTTCTTTAATGTTGTGTTTATAGATCTCAGTGTTGTTCATGTACTTTCGCATCCCTTTCTCATTTTGTTTTAACTCTATCAAATTCTCTTTCCTGAATAGAAGCTTTGGCCATAAGTCCCATGTTACTGGAAGCCCGTGTCAAATCCCTGTCATATAGGCCAAGCTATGCTGACAGTCACACAAAAGGCTCATGGTGATCCCTAAGCAAATTGAACTTCACTCCAAGAACGGGTGACCCTGGGGTTCTGTTCTTGTTGTTTTGGAAGTTTTATTTGACTTTGCTGTACGACCTGAGTTTCCTTGGGACAAACTTCTTTGCCTCTGATGTTCCAGACTCAGTCTCCCTTTCTTGATCCGTTCTAATCCTACAGTCTCCTAAAATACCTTTTAGAAGGTGTACTTGATATTGATTCTACATCTTGGCCTTTCTGAACATTGATTGTTTAACTCCTTCTCTTCTAAAGTGCCTTCTGGTTAACTTTAGCCCAGGCCTGGGTGAAATAGCCTTGTTCGGAAGCCACCATCCTAACACAGACACCACTGAGAACCCACAACACTTCCCTTCTGTCATCAGAGACGTGCTATCCGTGACTCAGTCAGACTGAACACACCTAGAGTGCAGCTGTATTCTATCCTACCCTGTCATCTTCACTTCCATAAACCATGTCCAGAAAACCAATGGTTACTCACAAAGGCAAAATAACATTCATAATAAACAAAGTTCATCATCCTTCTCCATTCCCATACCAGATAACACAAACAGTGGAGCTTTCTAAAGACAAATATTATGACTAAGTTTTCCGTACAGGATGATGTTTTCTTTCACGTCAAAAAGCAGAAGAATAACCTAAAATATGCAAATCAGAACTCAAAGTTAACAAAACATGTCACCACTTCACCCTTTACAGAAACTATTTAGCATTTACTTCAATCACTAAGGAAGAAAATATTTTACAAATATATAAGAGTATTCATAGAAGGAACTGATGATTATAAAAAGAGAAAAAACTAGCCATTCCACTGATTTGAGTTTCATATGTACAGTCCCAATCAGAATATGTAACATATAACATACACAACACACATATGTCCCTATATATTATGCATATCTCGTTAAATACATATGTGTGTGAATATAGAAAACAGAAAAATAGCAAGTGGCAGAGAGGAGAAAATGAAGATGAAGGGCAGAGACACTCAAATTAAAAAAGGAGAAACCCTCATTAGGCAGAGGAGAGATAATATTTGTAAAAAAGAGAATGCTCAACCAAGACAGAGCCAGTCCAATCCAAATATACAGAATGAGATACATTCAGTGAATCTTTCTCTCTCTCTCTCTCTCTCTCTCTCTCTCTCTCTCTCTCACACACACACACACACACATCTATAAGGCAACAATGTCTGAAAGGAGATAAATAAATGGTTAATAGTAATGAAGTCTAGAGGTTATTTTTACTGTACCTTTCCTATTAACTGATTTGATTTTTTTCAAAGTCAAATTCATAGCTAGATTAATCAAGAATGGTAAAATACAAAGTTTCCAAAAAAAAAAAGGAACATTAGAACTCAAACACTGAAGTAGACACACTACATATGTGGAAATAAACAAGTAAATCCCTCAGATTCTTATTTAAAAAATTTTCAGTCACTCCTTTAAATCCTAGATATTTTATAACCTAGTTCCTTAATAATATATCTTGGCATAGTTAACAAGAAAAAAAACACCACAAGCCTGCCCTGTAAGCATCTTTAATTTATTCTATAAGACTCAGTATAGGCCAACAAAGAAGTATATTTCTGATTTGGAATATCATTTCCATATGAAAACAACATGAACGTATTTGCATTTCATCTCTGCTTTAAATTTCTGAACTTCAAAGCTTTGAAGTAAGTTCAACATATCTAAGCAAGAATAAAGGTAATCATCATATGTCACCAAAAATCAGGAACAGGAGGACATTTTTCAAGGGAAAAACAGAATTCTTGATCAGAATTAGATAGTTCTTACAGGTAGCTCTTGAGGCATCCAAATGTAAGCAGAAGTCTGAAAGGTTCCCCAAAGCTTTTGCAAAGATCACAAAATACATACATTGCATAAAATAAGTTATTCTGTGGCCCAAGAGTATCCACTAAAGAATTCATTAGTCTGAAGTGCAAGACTAAAGATAATTATTAGGACTAAAAAAGTTTTATTTGTGAGTTTAAAAGTCAGTAGCTATTAGTTCACTGAAACTGGAAATCAATATTATAGAAAAATGAATGGTTTCCACTTAAATAAATATCTTAGTGTAGCTTAATTTAGCTGTGTGAGTTAAATAATAATAGTGGAGGTTTCTCAACACTGGACATAAATAATGCTTAGGGGATGACAGATGTGACCTTTATTCTACCAAAAGTTTAGTATGTTTATTTAAAATCATGATATACAAAGAGCATTCATTCCAATTACATAAACAGAATAACTGCAGGTCACTTTAAGTTTATTGGTGAAATATTATTTACAGATACTAGACTAATTTTCTTAACATACATCATCCACAGCATCAGTACTTTTTTAAATAAAACACTTCCCATAGCTTGTCAACAAACTGTCCATGTTGCCCTAACATTACAAATGATATCTGTGCTCTGTCATTTTTTGATATGTGCTATTCATATATCTGTTTACTGCCATGTATTGCAGAGTGAAATATCAACATGAGGTAGGTTATAGGATTAGAATACAACTTAATGAGGAGAGAAGGAGAGTTCTTGTCCTCATAATCTGACTTGGTACACTGAAAGCACAGACCTAGGCATTCCAAAATTTCCAAAGCATCCCAGAAGACCCTGAGCAGTCTGTAGGTTGTCATTTTGTTCTGTGTCCTTTGCTTTACAGAAGCTTTTCAGTTTCATGAGGTCCCATTTATTGATTGTTGGGAGAGAAGGCTCAGCCATTAAAGGCTAGGCTCACAACCATAAATGTAAGACTTCCTCTATTTCTTTACACATTTTATTTATTTCCTCCATTATCCTCTTTGTAAGCATAGATTCAAGGTCATCTTCTTGAATTTCACTTATGTTAGGGTGTCCAGGGCTTCTTGCCCCTGGTTAACTGGGTTCTGGCGATGTCATATTGCTTTGCCTTTTGTTGGTTGTGCTTTTACCCTGGCCTCTAACCATCTGGCTGTCTCAGGAGTTGGCTGTTAGTTTCTGGTGCCTGATGGAATCCTTGGGTAGGGAGAATCCCCTTGGCAGGTAGATGGTTGTTCCTGAAGGAAGCCTTCTCAGCTTTGTGGGTATAGTCATCAAATGGCAGGTGCTTCTCAGGAAGTGCCACAGCTCACCTCAGGTGTAGGATCCTGTGGGGTAACTGGAGTTGTTGGTAGTCAGGGGGCTCTCCTCTCACCAGGAGAAGTTCTGGAGACAGCTGCCCCCCCCCCCCCACTGGGTTTCTTGCTCTGAATTCAGTGAGCTGCTGCTGCTGTTCTTATACTGTGTTTGCTGGGCACAGCCCTCTTGAAGAACTGGGAAGTTCCGCAGTTCAGTCATGTTAGCTAGGGAGACAGGTAGCACTTTGGAGAAACATCTGGGGCTAATCCTATGGGTCCCAGGTATCTCTAGGTCTAAGGTGGGAGCTCTGTGCCCTAGTACCCAAGTGGTAATCAGTGGTAGGTGAGCACAGCACTCAGGCGTATGGCAGAGGGCTAGAGCCCAGAGCCTGTGGGAACTCAGGAACTTTTCTGTAGATTAGCTGGGTGTCCTGAGGTCACACCTGATGTTTCCCTCACTGTGGGGTTTTCTCCCGACAGGGAGACCCAGTCTGTGGTGTTTTGGGGTTCACAGTGAGTGGAGCATGCAGGTGCAGGCAAGTGCCCCGTGCTGGCAACTGGGCACCTGCAGGAGCCTAGGGACTTTTCTCAGGAACCTTTGGGTGGGGGAGGTTGGCTGGATGCCCTGAGGTCCGACCTGATGCTTCCTTTACTGTGGGCTTTCCTCCAGACAGACGGAGACTGGGAAACCCAGTCTCTGGTGTTTGGGGACCCACAGTTCTCTCTGGGATGGCAAGGGGGTGCACAGGAGGGTCTCTGGACTGGCAACTGAATGCCTGCTGGAGCCTGGGACCTTTTCCAGGGATTGTCTGGGTGACC